ACTTACCTTTGGCCAAGTCAATCACCACGTCTCTGCCTTCCTTAAGTGTTCTTTATAGGAGGCGTTCTCTTCTTTGTGTCATTTGTGAATATTCTTGAGAAGTCTGGGTTACGCAAGGCACTACAGATTAGTGACGGACTCACCGGGATAGCTCACAACAATATGCACTTTCTGGATCTTTCTATGATGCTATTTATTATTGTACTCTTGTTATTATTAAAGTATCTTTGTTTAATTTGAATTCTTTTTTAACTGCGATATTTTGTCTTCTATAGACAATGGCTTTAGCTACTGTTTTGTGGACTTTATATTGTTATGTATTGTTTGAATTCATTTGTTGATAAAGGTGGTAGAGTGGATGGCTTTGAGGTTATTTAAGTAGGCTATTATATCAGAAAATTTTTCTTGAATGTCTTAAGAAATGGTAGGGCCATGTGGTGTATTACTCTTGGCCAGCCTTCCACTTTTCTTTTTGAGTTATACTTTGAAATACTGGAGTTAGATTATAAGAGGCTTTGTTTCTATATGGTACAGTTGTTGTCTGTTTTTGTGATGTGTTTTCTTCCTTCAAATATATTGTTTTGTTGCTTTTTGGATAATATTGCAAAAGCTGTTCTATCTTTGATCTACTAACTGGTTGTTTTTGTTTATATTTTGCCTTTGAATTTCTTATTCTATTTGTTCACTAAAGTCTTTATATTGTTTTGATATTGTGAGTTGCCAATTATATCCATGGTTGGATTTATGGATTGGTATTTACTTGGGTTTATTTAAACTCCAGACCTCCATTTCAGTTATCATAGATATGTAGTCACTTTGGATTAAAGGGTAGTGCAGTTTTCAATTGATGCACTTCTTGACTGTCAGATTGCCAGGAAGTTGATTCATATTTGATCTATTCTGCTACTTCTGGCTCCTCTATTCCAAATATAATCTCAGGTTATGGGGTTGTATATTCTATATATACCTTTAGTCCATTATTGATTAGTGTCAGAATTTGTTTGTTTATAGAAGTGCAATATCTAGTTTTCTCTTTAGAATCACATCTGTCTATGGCTGGATTATATACTCTATTTAAATTATCCATTATGATAAGGTATCAACTATTCGTAGTTTCTTCTGTTATCTATCTGATAAGGGTATTTGTTACAGTGAGTTTTTTTCTGTCAATGTCCTATGCAGAGAAGTAAATATCTATTATTCTTATTTTCTCTTTGTGTAGAAAGGCTAGGTCTATAGCAATAAGTTTGCCTACTAGTGTTTTGTATTTGTATATTTGATGCACAATATCTTTGTTTATCATTATGTTGAGATTTGATCTATTGTTTGTGATTATTTATGTGTTCAGATGGTCTGGTATTTCACATGTTTCCAGTACTTTTAGAGATGATATGATCCATTGGTTTTTATAGTGATTATGATGTTCCAGGTCATTGTGCACAGAAGTTGAACCAGGTGTCTCATTTGTATGGTTCTGATATATCTTATATATTAAAGATTGTAAATTTCCAGATGGGTTTGTGTTTAGTGGGATTGTTTTTAATATTGTGTATAATATATGTGTCTTGTTAATGATATTTCTGCTGATATTTGTATTTTTGGTATATACTGTATTTCTTGAAGAGGGTTGTAGATTTGGTAGTTTTCTATGTCAGTGTTTTGTGTTTCTAAATCCTTTTTGTTGTTGATTATAGCTTTGTTAGAGTTGTTGTTGCTGTTATTATGGTTCCTCATATTTATAATTGTAATTGTTGATTATTATATGTTATGTTTCCTCTGTTATTAGGAATGAAATCCAAGATGGTATAGACTAGGGTGGTCATTGTTCTATCTATATTGCCAATTAATGTTCATAGTTGATATTGTTGTTATTGAATATTGTACATCAGATTATTTGTATATTCTAGGCTATTGGTGTCCTGGGTTTCTTGTAGATCTTTGTCCATGTTGAAGTTGTAGTTTTCATCTCAGTTCTCTAAGTTTACAATTCTTTCATCTAGTTCTATTACTACTTCTTTGATATTGGCAATTTCTTCATTGATTTCTTGTATATTGTATAGAATTTGATGGAGTGTTTCTTCTAATCCATCAGATGTTGGGTCTGGTTTTGCTTTGGATCTGGCTGCTACTACGTAGGAGTCCAGACGTATAGGTTTTGTGTTGTTTTTCTTTTCTACTAACCTTCTGATACTTGTAGTTTTGGCAGATTTGAAACATGTATATAGTTGATCAAATCTCTTTACTTGTTTTTGTTTATAATTTCACCATTGTTGTCTTCTTTCTTTAATATAATAGTCTTTTGCTAGGTGCAAGGTGACATTACAAATGGTATATAGTTTGGTGTCTATTGGCTACCATTCAATAGTTGTTTCTCCAAGAGTATAGTTTGTTATAATCGCTTGCTGCATATTTTGCTTATTTTCAAAATTGATCATAGCAAAGCATTTGCATTTGTAGTTTATTTTTCAGAAAATATAGCATGTTTTGCTCCTTGTTTATTGATACATATGTCTCAGGTCAAAAGCATTTATGTCTGGAGGTAGATTAGTAAATTTAAGAGAGAAGCAGTCTCTATCTTTTATTTATTGTAGAGACTATTTTGAGTCAAATATCCTGAGTGAATCTGCTTGTACTGGATGCTTCAACTTTCCAGGAGTTTGTGCTTGTCTATATTTTCTGTATATGTGATGGTGGTTGATTGTCACATACATTGTATTGAAATTGAGATATTGCTGATCTGACCATATTTTGCAAAAGTTTGTTGTATGTTATGGAAGGTTGTGTCCAGGGGAATGTTTCAAACTGTGACACTATTTACCTTATTGGTTGTATTTCTCATATCTGTCATGTGTCCCAGTATTAGATTATTCATTTCTGGTAAGTGTATGCTGCTCGTATTCTCAGCTGATTGTGGATAACTAAAAAGGGCAGTTATAAACTCCTGATTGTCAGATTTCTTACTACGAATACTGATTAGGCCTTCAGAGGAGTTTAGAGCCTTGAATATGTATGCTATCCTATAGTGTGTGAGTTTGTTAGTAACTTTTTCGACCTATATTCCGAGTTTCATTCTCTTGCATTCATATCTCACACTTCTATTGAAGGTGACCTTAGACAGGGTTTGCTACTTTAGGAATATATTTTTACTCTCTTCTTGATTTTCCTTTTGTTTGATGGAGTGTCCAGTCTTTGTGCCATTCATTTACATCTCTAGCTGCTTCTTCTTGGCTAGTCTCATTTTTGTTTTTCAACCTTATCTTTATGTTTGAGTCCATTAGGTTCATAGTCATTCGTGTGGTATAGGATTGAGTTTGGAGTTCCTTTTCCATTTCACGGGTTGCAGCTATGTCTGTTCCATTATTTGTTGGGTCAGCCTCCTCTTTGAAGCTATTGTTACAGGATAAGGTACAGGATTGTTCATTCTTGTATAGATTTGAGAACTGCAGGCTCGTGATTTTTGTGTTTAAGAGGTGGTGGATTTCATGTCTGCCAGGTTTTCTTTTACTAATCTTGTAGTTTTCTCTATACTGTTGGGCTTCTTTTCTGCGGTTATCTGTCTGGTTGTTGCTCTAGGACTTATTTGGCCTTTTTCTAAGGCTTCCTCATTGTAGTTAGGGTGGGAGGTTGCATTGTGGCTGCAGAGTGATCTTCACATATGTATTCTTTCTCACTTTTTTGTCTGAAATTCAATGGGTGTGTTTACTATGCCACTGATATTTTTTTTTTTTTTTACCCACTATTAGGTTAGTTATGTGTGCTTTATTAAATATAATATAGGCTATACTATTTACAGTGTCGCTAAAGCTAGAACGCTAACTAACTCACTCTTCTTAATTTATTATCAAACTCTAAGTGCAACTTTGGGAGTAATTTGTCGCTCCGTTTATAGTTTGGGTAAAAACCCTTCTACTATAAACATCATTGCCTGCAGTCACTACTGCAGATCACAGGCCAAAGTTCTGACCAAGCCTA